CCGGTTCTGAACAGGAACCGGTTTTCAAATCCCATCCCTAGTGAAAACAGTGCAAAAACATTGAGTAATACGAGTACTTTATCATCAACGCCTGCATGCATTAGTAGAGCACTTATTGGAAACATGACTCTGGATAAAACACCTCCCCGCCCAGATTTGATGCCTTCTAAAATGAAGTCATAGCAGGCAGCAGAGCTTCTGTTAATGAGAGCTGATTTTCTCCTCCCAACGTGACACTGAACGGACAAGTGTGTTGCTGAGTCACTCAGGGTGCTGATATGGCTCTAAGACACCTCTTAGAAACTATTTCAAAGTGTTAAATTAAGTCTGACGGCTGCCACTTAGGTCAGTAAATGGATTCCTGAGGATTCTTAAAGGTGCTCCTTGGTCCCACCGACACGCGCCGGTGCTCTCTGTAACATATGGAGATTTGCTCTCTGAACCAGCTGTAAGCCAAATTGGCTTCGAACGCATAAGCCACACACCTCAGAGGACCCTGCCGGCTTAAGTGATTTATTCTCTTAAGATTAGCCTTGTTGCTGCTGTAATTACAGGAAACTGAAACAGACTTTTCGGATCAGTAGGAGCCCTTCTCCTCGCTGGCTGTTCCTTGAATGTCTGTGGTGCCGACATGAGCGGCGCTTGTTAACGCTGCATCTTTATCACAAGCTATACATGCCAGTGAGGCATAGACGCATCATTTCCTGCTATATCCCTCAATCTGGAGTCATTTGATGCTTTTTATTGGTAGATAAAAGTAAGTTGATGTGTAGGATCTGCTAAAACTAATAATCAGTGAGATTAAATTGAATAAAACACACAAAATACATAGAAAGATAATATCATCTATTAGGGAAGTTAATATAAGGTATTAATATTAAGGCCTTGGCATAAAAAGGACCAATTTGACTTAAAATATCCACCTAAAACCTAATTATCTTTTAGGTATGAATATTTAGTTTTAATGTTTAAATAGTTTCAGGCTTTTATTTCAGATTGGAGCACCAGGTGTTTTTACTTTGATTGTAAGAACCATAAATCCACATTATTCCTCTTTACTGCAGGCTTTTTCTTTAAAAAGATACTTCTTTAATAATAGATTTAACTTGGAATCAATCAGCCAGTTATTTTCACCAGGTTGAGTAAAATGATTTTAAATTATCCCCTTTTCGAATGTTTGTTTTTGGTAAGGGGTTCATCTTTTACACAAAATGTTTGTTTTAAGTTAAGGAAGAGAGAAGATTTTATCTGCATCCTCTGGACAGACTCCACAAGTTGAAGGAATTGGCATCAGCTTGCCGGTTAAAATAAAAATAGACATTAAGGAGTCCCAGTTCATCTCCTTGATACCCAAAATTGTAGAAGATTGATTCTAAGGGAATAAAGAAATACATTTGTGATTATTTATTTAAATGTCGCACATGTTTATCAGTAAAGACTTGTTTCTACTGGGATGCTGATAACGACACAAAGCATCTCTTCATTGGATGGAATCAGACGAGGGATATTTTCTTAACTATTTAAAAAATCTTCTTCAGCTCCAAGATTTTTAATCATCCCATGCAGTTAACAACAACCCAGGAGTGTCAAAAAATTTTAAATGTTTTTTTAATTAATTTCTGCTAAATCATCTTCCAATGCTTTATTGAAAGAAAAAGTGCCAAATTCATCACATAGTGAAGGAGGATTGTTGGATCCCGTCTTTACTGAAAAGAAATGGGCAGAATTCCTTCTCCATTATATATCATTTTTCATCTAGACAAATATTAAGAATTTATTTTTTTATTTCTTAACTGAATTTTCTTTTTTTAACCAAGTAGAAGCGCATTCATACCGCCTTTTTATCCTTCTGATTTTTTTTTTTTGGTAGATGGATAGATAAATAGATAGAAATAAAACATAGAAAGGTCTATAATACAAAATCAATAAAAATGAACCTTCGTCCCCTGATATTAATTGTAAAGGGAACATGTATCCATTCATAGTCTATAAACACTGCAAGGTTGATGGTGCACCTTGGACGTGCCGCCAGTCCAAAACAAGACAATATAGACACACAGGACATAGATCTGCTAGTCATGTTGGGGAAGAGTTAGAAGAAGAGCAAAGTTATCCACCAATGCACAGTGAGACTTTCATACACCAGGACCCCAGACCAGGATTTGACCTTATTGCTGCAAGACAGCAGTGCTACCAACTGTGTCACAGTTACTGTAAGACCACCCCCACAAACAACTACAGCTCCGTGCAACCACTGAAAGAAAATCACCTTTTGTACATCCAGTAAAGGACGGTGATTGTGTTTGAAAAATGAGCTGAAAAGGAGAAAAACTACTTCTCTATTGGTGATCAAAACTCCTATTATATCTTCTTTCTTTTCCTTCTTTTTGCTGAGTCATTGTTACTGATCTCAGTGGTCCTGAGGGGAGTCTGAAGGTGCATTACTCAACACAGAAAAGTAGGAGTTAGTGTTAAGAGTAAATGCTGGAAGTAATATGTGCACAAATAATAAGACTTGCTTATTTTCGAAAGTGCTTTCTTGTACTTTTTGTACTTTTTCTCCCTTATTTGAAAGATGGCAAAATTTAAATTGCTTGATTTCAGTGGAAATAAACCTTTACAACTTCAGCACCATGACTCCCAGTTACAGGTTAAAATGTTTTCTTATTGTACAGGCAGAATCAGACTGCAGAGCTTCTACATATCTTAAAACTCTGTTTCTTGCATCATTATATTAGTAAAGAGGTTCATAAATCTTTTTTAAACAGAGCACAGACAGAAGTAGGGAGAGCTGCAGATTTAAAGGTGAAATATTAACTGGGATATGCAACATGCAAAAGAATATATCTCCAAGTTTACCAAAAAAGTATACAAGAAAAAAATATGCTATCTAAAATGCAGCATATCCATATTTTTCTGGAAGGATGGAATTAAAATTGTACTTCTAGGGATGCATAATATATATTGATTTTGGCATCGGAATCGGCTGTTATACCTTATTTTTTTTATACATGAATCTTTTGGAGCCCTATATAATGCACTAAAAGGCATCTCTATGACTTAAATATAAATATCAGTGTATTATGATTCTCTTACTGGAAAAAATCGAAATCTAGATTTTTTTTTTTTCTTAAAATAAATGCAATTGTGTTTGGATTGAGGAGGTAAAAGAGACATTTTGCCAATGGAACAAGACAATTTACCCTTAAAACAAGAAAACACAATTGCATTGTCTTATTTCAAGTGCATTTTATCTAATCATCTTATTTTAAGAGTAAAAAAAACTAATTACATTTGCAAAATACCTTATTTACCTTCTCAAATTAAGAGTAAATACACCTATTTTCATAATTTTTTACTTATTTCTAGATCATTTTTCCAGTGTTCTTGTCCTCAACAATACACTGCAAAAAAATTAAATCTAAGTAAGTTTATTTTTCTTAAAATAAGACCATTGTCCTTCAATTAAGCAGTTAAGTGATACACTTAAAATTTAAAATAAGAATAAACAACTGCAATCTCTTATTTCAAGTGCATAATATCTACTTATCCTATTTACACTTGTTTTAAGAGTAAAAATCCTCATTCCATAGGCAGAGTATCTTATTTAGTTGTTCAAATTAAGGGTACATTTACTTAATGATTTTTAGATCATTTTTTGGAGTGTAGGAAAGCATTCAATAAATATATGTTTGAGCTCATTTTTGGACAATACGAAAACCTAATGAAAGTGTTCAGGTAGAGTAACTGTAGGTCCATCAGGCTCCACCCTCAAGGTGTCCCCACCAACTTTCATCACTGTTTGGCTGTGACGCCACCCTGGAGAGAAATATCAGCCATGCTGCTGCCATCAACACCTTTGTTTATAGATGCTGGAGATCGGCCTGTTTTTCCAGTGTAGTCCTGTTTCTCTGACTGTGACTGGCTGGATGTGCTCTCTTCATCCTCTGACATGGGAGCTGGCTCAGAGCTCGCCTGCCTGGCTGTGTGTTTCCTGGACGGGGCCGCCTTTTACAGCTGCTTTTTGTATCTCTGCTTCTGTCTCCTTGAACCCCAGTCAGCCTCAGCAGATGGCTGCTCACACCGAACCTGGTTCTGCAGGAGGTTTCTTCCTGTTAAAAGGGAGTTTTTCCTCTCCACTGTCGCTAAAAGCATGCTTAGCGTGAGGTCAATGAGTCGATGCAATCAACTGGTTTTCCATAGGTGGAAAATCAATTTGACTGTATGATCTGGTGAACTTGCCTTGAGATGACATGTGTTGTGAATTGGCGCTATATAAATAAACTGAATTGAATTGAAATTGAATTGATTTTGGCATCGGAATAGGCAGTTATTAATTTTTTTTTTTTTTACATGAATGTTTTGGGCCCTATATATATAATGCACTAAAAGGCATCTCTTCAACTATCTATAAATATTAATATTGTTGTATTATGATTCTCTTGTGTTTTCAACAATAGGAAAGCATTCAATAAATATATGTTTGAGCTTATTTTTGGAAAATACAAAAACCTAATGAACGCGTTCGGGATGAGTAGCTGTAGGTTCATCAGCCCCCATCCTTACATTGCAAAAACAATCCAGAAATAAGTAAAAAAAAAAAAAAAAAAGTGTATTTACCCTTAATTTGATGAGGTTAATAAGATGCTTTGCCAATTGAATGAGTATTTTTACTCTTAAAATAAGATAATTAGATAATATGCACTTGAAATAAGACGATGCAATTGTTTTTTTTTTCTTATTTTAAATGTAAATAGTCTTGTTCCATGTGTGAAGTGTCTCTTTCCTCCTCAATTAAAGAAAAAAAATCTCATTTTAAGAAAAAATGACTTAATTAGATTTTAAAAAAATTGCAGAGTTACAAAGTTACACCCTTAGATAAAAATGATGGATGGTTATCTTTAAATAAACAGCTCATATATCTGCAAGTTTTGCCTGTTTGTGTGTTTTTTTTAGTGTGTGTTCCTGATTCATGAGGCAGTTGTGTGTTTTTCACTCACTTTTTGTTCTTTGGAGCATTCTTCTTGTCCTTCTTGTTCATCACCACCGGCACGCAGCTGGTCAGCTCCGTCCAGTCTGCGTGCAGCCCGCAGCTCCAGCCGGTGGAGAACCGGGAGAAGAGCCAGGACTCCGCTTTGCCCGGCCGGTGGCAGGTGCACTTCCTCTGGCCGGGCAGACAGTCGCACGGCTGCTCCAGCTGGATGTTTTTCACCAGATGCCTCCCGAAAGTCGTCCCCCCGGTCTTCTGGATGTGCAGGAACACCATCACATCGTCCCCTCGGATGTTGAAGTCTGCGTGCCTGTCCAGGTCCCGCTCCGTGAAGTTGAACTTGGAGGTGAATTTGGCCGGGAAGTCCTCGTCGGGCTCCGGGTACAGAGAGTCGGAGGTCGGGGGTCGCTGCTGGACGTCGCTCCTGAAGCGGCAGGTGTTGCTGTCCCCCGGGCAGACGTACTGGTAGCCGATCATTAGGAAAACCACCGCAGCGATGGGGATGAAGATGAGTCTGCTGAACTTCTCCTCCATGGTGGAGATTTTTTTTTTTTTTTATCGGATTCACGCCACCGGCACAAACCTGAACGCGATGCCCGAGCGGAGCTCCTCTCTCCCCGGTCTCATCCTGTCACGCTCAGCCTGGAAACTGAACCAGGGGTCCCGTCCTGAGCTCCAGAACACCTCACTCTGCAAACTTCCAACTCTTAATAAGCCGGTTTAAGCTAACGGGGCATGGCTGTCATTAAAAAGTGGGAAACTGTTGCCAAATGTCTTGCGCAATAAAACCTAGAAGGAAACGACTCATCCCCGCAAACAGAGCGTCCCGGATCGGCTGACCTGCAGACTGCTGATCGGTATCTGAGCTGGAGACTCCAGCGAAAAGACCGGCAGAGTGAACTAGGCGACTTCCGGTTCTGACTTTCAAAATAAAACGTTAAGAACGCTTCTTTTCAACAATTATGTTACTCTATCTTCAATTTAGTTTTTTTTTTTTATTGCTCAGTGACACAGTGGGTAGCACTGTCGCCTTGTAGCAAGAAGGTTGTGAGTTTGATTCCTGGCAGTGTGTGCAATCTCTGCAGGGAGTTTGCATGTTCTCCTTGAGCACACGTGGGTTCTCTCCGGGTACTCCAGCTTCCTCACTCCAGTCCAAAAAAATGAGTGTTAGGTTAAATGGCTTCTCTAAATTCTCCTTAGGTGTGAGTGTGTGCGTGAATGGTTGTTTGTCTCTGTGTTGCCCTGCGATGGACTGGTGACCTGTCCAGGGTGGACCCCGCCTCTCGCCCGTAGAAAGCTGGAGATAGGCACCAGCACCCCTCGAGACCCCACTTGGGATGTGTGTGTGAAAATGGATGGATGGATGGATGGATAATAATAATAATGCAAATTTTATATGGTAAATTTTTCCATCAACTTATTACCAGAGGTGTCAAGTAATGAAGTACAAATACTTCGCTACTGTACTTAAGTACACTTTTTAGATTTCTATACTTTACTCCATTACTTATTTTTCTTCCTACTTCTGACTTCTACTCATTACATTTTCACACAAGTATCTTTACTTTCTATTCCTTACATTTTTAAAACAAACATTACTTGTTACTCTTGGCTTCGGTTGAATGTTTATTAATATTTATTTCACATCATGTGCTCCATCCAATGCAGATCATTGGACCATCCACATCTAGTGAAAACTAGTGTCATTGGATGAGTCATAGAATGCAAACACTCATTGGTTAGCGAAAGGAAATCATCAGAAGCAAGCAGGTGTTCTTCAAACTGCAAATGTGAATTGTCTATGCCATGCTACAATGTGGGATTCAGAAAAAGATGTTGAAATGTCTGAAAGGTCGGACACAGGAGAGAGCGTATCAGGAGATGGAGACCAACAAGGCCTCCCTCATCCCCGGCTCTATTTTGAAGAATTTTTCGAATAGTCGTAAAATTAAGCTTTCATTTCATATAGTGGCATCTGGCTGTTTTTTTTTAAAGGTTACTTTATACTTTTATACTTTAAGTAATTTTTGGAGCACATAGTTTTTCACTTTTACTTGAGTAAAGAGGCTGTTTGTTTACACTCCCCCAACAGCTTTCTGTCACGCCTTCTACATCAGTTGCTCTCATTGGTCAGAGCGTTGTTCAATAGGCACAGACGTGGTTTGAAAAACAACGGGTTGTTCTCATCAACAATCTTCCAATGTTTCATTCATCGGGGCCAGACTAAATTACACATTTAATCTCACATTTAGTCTGGTTTATCAGGCTAATAGAAATACATATTTACGTACAAACTTGACTTTTTATATTATGGTGTGTATGACCTAAAACATCTGTGTATTCATAGGGATCTTAAGTACTATTTAAGCTCTTTTTTTTCTTTTTAGTATAAAAATATATTTGTTTTGATAAAAAAAAAATAATGTAAGTATTTCATGCCTTTTTAATTTACCAATGAATGTGGTATATGTTAAACTGAAATGTAACCAAGTGTAACAAATTACTTGTTACAAAAAAGTATTTTACTTTGGATGACTTTAGTGATTATGTCAGATCTAATGTTTAGCGCAAAAGCTGCTGTTGTACACTGCAAAAATAATATGAAATTAAGTAAAAATGTCTTAAATCAAGTGTATCTACCCTTAATTTGAGCAAGTAAATAAGATAGTTTGCCAATGGAATGAGTATTTTTACACTTAAATTAAGATAATTAGATATTATGCACTTGAAATAAGACAATGCAATTGTTTTTTTCTTATTTCAAATGTAAATTGTCTTGTTCCATTGGCAAAGTGTCTCACTTACCTCCTCAATTCAAGAAAAAAAGGACTTATTGTAAGAACAAATGACTTATTTAGATTTACATTTTTTGCAGTGTATGGTTTTTTGTTTTGTTTGTTTTTTATGCCAGAAATTAGAATTTCATAAACACCGGCTCATAACATCTTAATAATCCTAGAATCAATCAGTTTGGTTTTGTTAAAAATAATTCTGAAGTGCCATATGGTTAGGAGTGTAGTTCTCATAGCCAACAGGCCCGAGTTCACTCTCATTTTATTTTGAAAAGCCAGTTGTAGTATTTCCGGCTTGGTTTTGGCTGGCTTGTCCTAACATCTGCGCCAGTCATCTGTCCTGGCTGCCGAGCCCATGACGCAACGGTTCCTATAATCACACACAGCCTGAAGTGTCTGTGGAAAAAAAAAATGATGGGAAGAGTCGTGAGATTTTTCTTTAATCCAGGAAATGTTTTGGCAGCAAAAATGGGATTTTGTAAATTATATGTAATTCAATGAACTCCTCCTTAGAGTTTTTATTTTTGGGGAGGGTTTAAATGACTGAAAATTTAGTATTAAGCCAAAAGCCCTTTATAGCTATATATATGCTGCTGTTTATGGGTCATCCATAAGAAATAATGTCTACATCCAAGTGGAGATATTATTGGTCTTCATAGATCAGGAGAAATGTCTCTCCATCATTTACTTTCCCATGTAGTCCTACACCAAAGCCTCAGGGTGAGCGCCAGTCAATTCATTTCAGCACCATGGACAGCTTCCAACATGTCAAGTCAATAATTGGCACAGTGTTTGAGGGAAATGTGTAAGAGCGCACTCAGTCACCATCCCACATAGGTTTTCCTTTACCGCTCGTACAGATTGACTCAAGCCTTTAATGGAGATTGAGTGAAATTTACAGCATTCTGTAGACAGAACAGGCTGGAACTAAAGGCATTTTAGTCGTCTGTAAAGGATTTTCTTTAAGCCTGTCCTGATCAAAAGCTTTTGTTATTTTCCCTAAGATGCCCTCCATCAAGGGATTTAACCAGGCGGCATTCTGGTGTGCATTGTATTCAATCCTCTTTCATCACAGAGTGCACTTTGCCCCACTCTTGCTGACATTGACTTAATCTGTATGGGAGTTTGGTCTGTGCTTTAATTTGTTTGTGCCATCCTCTCACATCATAGGCGTAGCCGGGGGTGGCATGAGAAGAATCGGTTATGAAAAGTGTCACAATTGGAGACATTTTCTAAAGGTCAAGTTGAAATGAACCGACGAGCTTTTGCTGAGGTGATGATAACATCCTGTGTCACCGTGCTCTTTACCTGTAAGACCTCATCCAACGGTGCAGGGCTCACTTTGCAAAGGAAACCCATATTTCTACAAATGGCATGCCTATTAAATTCCGAGCTGATGTGAAGGAGCCTCCATTAATGCTCCGAGCAGTGAGGCGAGACTTGTGTTGTTCTGGCTGTGCAATAAGGGTATTTACAAGGTCCCTGATGCTCGCTGCACGCCTTTATGAGAAATAACCCTCCGGAAGTGCTGACTCTGCTGGATGCAGCAGTGCGCAGCTCTCCGAGAAATGAGACTGAAAAATTTTCGTAGAAATGATGATTGGATTGGTTTGGGTTTCCATTAATGCATTTTAGTCCGTTTTCCAATTTCACAAGCAGAGCCAGGCCGGCGTGCCAACAGATATGTGTTTTATAATAACTGGAATTGGTATTGATTTGAGAACTGTCTGAACAAGCTCTCAGAGAGTTTTTGACTCTGCAAACTCAGTAACTAAGTGGAAAATTCAGTTTATAAAGCTAAAAACAAGTCTAATACCTGCACAGAATAACCCAAATATGACATTGGCCACATTTAACTGCTTAGGTCCCTTCAGAAATGTCCTTACTGGACTTTTTGAATACACTAAACCAGCCCTGTATGACTTTAAGGAAAATATTTTTGATCATCATGAAATTTAAAGTTAAAATAGTGATATTATTAATATATTAGGGTGTAAACACAAATGGCTGTCAAAATATTTCATTTATTAGGCAGAGAGGCAACCTAAATTCAGTTTTGTTGTTTGTAAAGCTAAAAGTAACAACTGCTGTTCTGTCCAGATCCTAAAGCAATATAGCAGACCCTTGCTTTTACACTTTTATGCTTGACTATTCTGCTTCTTTCTTTTGGAAAGTTGTCCTGTTTATAAGACCTATCTCCATAATATTTAAAATGATTAAACATGCAGTATTTAGCCCTAAAATTTCAATATTGGTCGAATCTGAGCAGAGCTTTTCTGCACTCAGACATCATACCTTCCATCTGACTATCAATGTTCCTTTAACTCAAATGCAAAGCTCTTTGCTCTTCCATACTGTTCGCATCTTTGATCTTGTTTGTCAAATTATTGTTAGCTAGAAGTGTGTTTTAGTTTTTCCTATATGCAACATGGACACAACATTGACTGTGACCCTGTGATAAACTGTAAAATCTAATATTTGGTACAGTAATTAGATCCTGATGCAAAGTAGAAATAAATTAGAAGAACAAATCTGTTTTTCAGCTTCAGCAGCTTTAATCCTTTGATGCCTGTTGTCACTAATAAGGAACAAACCGCAAGTAAGTCAATTTTTCTTAAAATAAGAACATTTGTTATTGAATTGAGCAGGTAAGTGAGACACTTTGCCATTGGAACAAGACAATGAAATGACAATTAAAATAAGAAAAAAACTACAACTGCAGTCTTATTTCAAGTGCATAATATCTAATTACCTTCTTTTAATGGTAAAAACGCTCATTCCATTGGCAGATCATCTTATATTCCTACTCATATTAAGGATAAAAACACTTATTTTAAGAATTTTTTTTACTCATTTTCAGAATATTTTTGAGTGTAGGCGAACAGCTAGCATAGCGTTATTGCATAACCCCAGTGCTAGTAACAGTGTACACTGGGAAAACGATCCAGAAATAAGTAAAAAATGGCTTAAATTAAGTTTATTTATCCTTAATTTGAGTAGGTAACTGAGATTGTTTGCCAAAGAAATAAGCATTTTTACTCTTAAGATAAGATAATT